TCATTCTATACCCTATCCTTACTGTGTCATTCCATACCCTATCATTACTGTGTCATTCCATACCCTATCATTACTGTGTCATTCTATACCCTATCATTACTGTGTCATTCTATAACCTATCATTACTGTGTCATTCTATACCCTATCATTACTGTGTCATTCTATATCATATCATTACTGTGTCATTATATTACCTATCGTTACTGTGTTATCCTATATCCTATCATTACTGTGTCAATCTATACCCCATCATTACTGTGTCATTCAATACCCTATCCTTACTGTGTCATTCCATACCCTATCATTACTGTGTTATCCTATACACTATCATTACTGTGTTATTCTATAACCTATCATTACTGTGTTCTTTTTACCCTATCATTACTGTGTCATATAACCTATCATTACTGTGTCAGTCTATAGCCTATAATTACCGTGTCATTCTGTACACTATCATTACTGTGTCATTCTATACCTATACCTATCATTACTGTGTCATTCTATACCCTATCATTACTGTGTCATTCTATACCCTATCATTACTGTGTCATTCTATACCCTATCATTACTGTGTCATTCTATAACCTATCATTACTGTGTCATTCTATACCCTATCATTACTGTGTCATTCTATAATTCTATCATTACTGTGTCATTCCATACCCTATCATTACTGTGTCATTCTATAACCTATCATTACTGTGTCATTCCTATAACCTATCATTACTGTGTCATTCTATAACCTATCATTACTGTGTCATTCTATAACCTATCATTACTGTGTCATTCTATACCCTATCATTACTGTGTCATTCTATACCCTATCATTACTGTGTCATTCCTATAACCTATCATTACTGTGTCATTCTATAACCTATCATTACTGTGTCATTCTATAACCTATCATTACTGTGTCATTCCATACCCTGAGCATTACTGTGTCATTCTATAACCTATCATTACTGTGTCTTTTCTATAAACTATCATTACTGTGTCATTCTATACCCTATCATTACTGTGTCATTCTATAACCTATCATTAATGTGTCATTCCATACTCTATCATTACTGTGTCACTCTATAACGTATCATTACTGTGTCAGTCTATAGGCTATAATTTCTGTGTCATTCTGTACCTTATTATTACTGTCTCACTCTATAACCTATCATTACTGTGTTATTCTATACCCTATCATTACTGTGTCATTCTTATCATTACTGTGTTAGTATATCATTACTGTGTTATCCTATACCCTATCATTACTGTGTCATTCCATACCCTATCATTACTGTGTCATTTTTATATAACCTATCATTACTGTGTCATTCCTATACACTATCATTACTGTGTCATTCTATAAACCTATCATTACTGTGTCATTCCATACCCTATCATTACTGTGTCATTCTATAACCTATCATTACTGTGTCATTCTATACCCTATCATTACTGTGTCATTCTATACCCTATCATTACTGTGTCATTCTATAACCTATCATTACTGTGTCATTCTATACCCTATCATTACTGTGTCATTCTATACCCTATCATTACTGTGTTATTCTATAACCTATCATTACTGTGTCATTCTATACCCTATCATTACTGTGTCATCTATAACCTATCATTACTGTGTCATTCTATAGCCTATCATTACTGTGTCACTCTATACCCTATCATTATTGTCTCATTCTATACCTTATCATTACTGTGTCATTCTATAACCTATCATTACTGTGTCATTCTATAACCTATCATTACTGTGTCATTCTATACCCTATCATTACTGTGTCATTCTTATACCCTATCATTACTGTGTCATTCTATAGCCTATCATTACTGTGTTATTCTATACCCTATCATTACTGTGTCATTCTATAACCTATCATTAGTGTGTTATCTTATACCCTATCATTACTGTGTCATTCTATAACCTATCATTACTGTGTCATTCTATAACCTATCATTACTGTGTTATCCTATACCCTATCATTACTGTGTCATTCCATAACCTATATCATTACTGTACACTCTCATTACTCGGTCATTCTATAACCTATCATTACTGTGTTATCCTAAACCCTATCATTACTGTGTAATTCCATTCCATATCATTACTGTGTCATTCTATAACCTATCATTACTGTGTCACAATATAACCTATTATTACTGTGTCATTCTGTACCTTACCATTACTCTGTCATTCCATACCCTATTATCACTTTCTCACTCTATAACCTATCATTACTGTGTTATTCTATACCCTAGCATTATTGTGTCATTCTATGCACTATTATTACGGTGCCATTCCATACCCTATCATTACTGTGTCATTATATAACCTATCATTACTGTGTTATCCTATACCCTATCATTACTGTGTCATTCTATAACCTATCATTACTGTGTCACTCTATAACCTATCATTACTGTGTCATTCTATACCCTATCATTACTGTGTCATTCCATACCCTATCATTGCTGTGTCATTCTATAACCTATCATTAATGAGTTATCCTATACCTTATCATTACTGTGTCATTCTATAACCTATCATTACTGTGTTATCATATACCCTGTCATTACTGTGTCATTCTATAACCTATCATTACTGTGTCATTATATAACCTATCATTTCTGTGTTATCCTATTCCCCATCATTCCTGTGTCATTTTTTACCCTATCCTTACTGTGTCATTCCATACCCTGTCATTACTGTGCTATCCTATCCACTTTCATTACTGTGTTATCTTATACCCCTATCATTACTGTGTCATTCCATACTCTATCATTAATGTGTCACTCTATAACCTATCATTACTGTGTCAGTCTATAGCCTATAATTACTGTGTCATTCCACACCCTATCATAACTGTGTTATCATATACCCGCTCATTACTGTGTTGTCCTATACCCTATCATTTCTGTGTCATTCTATAACCTATCATTACTGTGTCATTCTATACCCTATCACTACTGTGTCATTCTATTACCTATAATTTCTGTGTCATTCCATACCCGATCATTATTGTGTTATCCTATACACTATGATTACTGTGTTATCCTATACAGTTTCATTACTGTGTCATTCCATACCCTATCATTACTGTGTAATTCTATGACCTATCATTACTGTGTTATCCTATACCTTAGCATTACAGTGTTTTCCTATACCTTATCATTACAGTGTTTTCCTATACCCTATCATTACTGTGTTATCATATACCCTATCATTACTGTGTCATTCTATACCCTATTATTACTATGTCATTCCATACCCTATCATTACTGTGTAATTCTATGACCTATCATTACTGTGTTATCCTATACCTTAGCATTACAGTGTTTTCCTATACCTTATCATTACAGTGTTTTCCTATAACCTATCATTACTGTGTTATCATATACCCTATCATTACTATGTTTTTCTATACCCTATCATTACTGTGTCACTCTATAACCTATCATTACTGTGTTATCCTATACCTTATCATTACTGTGTTATCCTATACCTTATCATTACAGTGTTTTCCTATACCCTATCATTACTGTGTTATCATATACCCTATCATTACTGTGTCATTCTATACCCTATTATTACTATGTCATTCTATACCCTATCATTACTGTGTCATTCTATACCCTATTATTACTATGTCATTCTATACCCTATCATTACTATGTCATTCTATGACCTATCATTACTGTGTCATCCTATAACCTATCATAACTGTGTTACTCTATAACCTATCATTTCTGTGTCATTCTATACCCTATCATTACTGTGTCACTCTATAACCTATCATTACTGTGTTATCCTATACCTTATCATTACAGTGTTTTCTTATACCCTATCTTTACTGTGTTATCATATACCCTATCATCACTGTGTCATTCTATACCCTATTATTACTATGTCATTATATACCCTATTATTACTATGTCGTGTTTGTATTACATCCCATCCCATCTTTTACCATGTTGTTTTAGTGTATCACTGGCATCCTCGTGTTTGTATTATATCCGATCACATCAATTACCATATTGTTTTAGTGTATCATAGTGATATATATCCCTTGTACTCCGTATCATTGCCGTCGCCGAAATACCTTAGTTGTGTGTACATGAGACATTACAAAGAAAACATGTGTAATTAGTTAAACAATGTTAAAGAATGAATGTGTAAAGCAGACATGAGGCCAGTGATACACTAAAACAATATGGTAATTGATGTGATGGGATATAATACAAACACGAGGGTAGGCCAGTGCAAGGGATATATATATCCCTTGTACTCCCTATCATTGCCGTCGCCGAAATACCTTAGTTGTGCGTGCGACGTTAAATAAAACCAATAACTAACTAATAACTCCCTACCATTCACCTGATGAAGGAGCAAGCATACACCCCGAAACGTCGTGTTATTCACAATAAATCTTACTTTTCTTATGAATTCCACTTCTAAGTGCCCTTCAAACATTTGAAAGATTTGGATTGCTTGATTTTGATTTAGACGGGGCACCCCCATTTTAGTCTTTCAAATACTTTGTGTCCAGATATTCAGGCTGGCACTGTGTACAATATATTGAGTATGTGTAAGTTTTTATTGGGAAGAGGGAGGGGGAGTACTAAGATTAAACTTCAAACAAAATGGAGATCGTGAGGCTGGGACATACCAAAACCCATATGATGGATGTTGACAGTTAATATGTAGAAAAAAAACCAATAAAAACAGCTGTATTTGTATCATTTTCTTGCTGAGGGTAACTTCTTTTCGACAGCCCCTCGTACATGCTGAATTTTACCGTGAATGCAAAGGCCGATGTGCCCCATAAAAGCATTAGGAACATGCCAAAATTGTACGCTTAAAACAAAATCATAAGCACGTTTTCCACTAAGGTGATGATGGCAGGTGTTCGCGAATACAGGAAGCATGTCGTATTCTACAGATATTACTCATGAAGAGTGATCAGTGTCACGAGAAATGATCCAAACCATACCTTCAGGAAATGAAAAACACTCGACACCAACAGCCTCTGAATCGCCACAGTCATCCATCCCCCATGGCTGGTGTTTGCAGTCCTTTAGATCCGTGTTCAACAGCGTGCACTGGACGTCATCCAGCCACATTTTATTGGAACTCCTTTCATTGAATACCTTCCCTCCTCTGTAATGATAAAGAAGAGTGAGTTTTAGTAATATTCCAGCATTAACACGGCGGGGGACACCAGAAATGGGATTCACACATTGCACCCATGTAGGGAATCGAACCGAGGATTTAATCAAAAGCCTTAACTACTAGGCTACCCAACTGCCCCATAAAGATAAAGAGAAATACACCTTTGCAAACCTGAACTAGTTTATCTTTGTTATACGTATATACATGTAGGTAGGTTGGTTTAACGTTTGGCTGTTGTATCTGACTTGTTTAACAGTCATATTACTCACTGGTACCCCAGAGCCCTGCACACAACTGAAGCTTCTACTTGTCCGAAGCTATCATCACACACTGTGCCCCAGCTACCAGAGTGGAATACCTCTAGGAGACCCCTTTTGTAGTTCGGTGTCAGCTTCATCGTTATGTCACCTGGTGAAGAAGAATAACGAAACACATTAAACGTTCCCTTACACACTGTTCAAAAATTAAACAGTGTACTTTGTTAACTTAAATGTACACAGTCACTGAATTCGATCACTACGAAGATGAAATGTAGCATGATGACACAACATGTTTTGTTGACATTAAGACAGAGGGGTTGTTGAGGTCGGGTCTTGATGTGAGCATTGTGTGCTGTTGTCACAGTTCTGCACCTCCGTGGCACACGCGGAACAAGTCTACGGAGATCTTATGGGATTCTCTCCTTTAATCCTCCCTCAACGCGTTAGCTAGTCGAGCAAGTCTGTGTGGCATATGTTCACCAGGGATCTGGAACGCCTTGGCAGTGGTCGACAGTGCCATGAGATGTGTGCAGTGAAGGGTTGTCATGTTAATACATGTGAGTTCACCCAGCAGAAAATGGGTATCCGGTAGGATAAAGTCATGTGACTTTAACCTTCTAGCGCAGCAGACACCTTGGGTTAACCGGGGTAATAGTAATGCACAGATTGTTTGGGCGCTTCGAGCTTGCATTGTGCATGGAGAAATGTGCATGGCAAATGGACTGTTATTATGTTTTGTTCAGGTTAAGATGAAAAGTGCAGCAGAAAGGGTTCGGGTGATCCTGGCACAGTCAGACAGGTAAGGCTGATCATCAGTTCAGGGCCCTTGCCCCCTCTACATGCAGCCCAGGCAGCGAATGGGACTTCTCGCAGGAAACGCTGCCTAGTCGAACCCACCAAGAACTTTCCGGAAAATATGAAGATCCCCCAACACTGCAGCCTTCTGCATTACCCAGAGTGTTAGAAGGGCTGTGCTCCCGTCGGAGAACCCGGGCACTCTATAAAACATCAGCCACTGTCAGTTGATAATCGGACGATGACGTGGACTTCAGTTTCCCTGAACCACCACAAAGCGATATCTCCGTGTGCGGGATACAGATTGTGTAAAATGTCCAAGATGCAAAGAAAGCTATCAAAATGTTGACACCAGCTGTTATGCATTTCGCCATTTGACAGGTGAAAACCCAGACAAGATTGGTATTCAGCAACACATGCTGGTCGTAAAATGTGACTAAAATACTGTCAGAAAGAGAAAAAAAATCCCATTTTTTTCGCATTTATATCTACAATTTATGTAGTTAATATGTGAAAGTATGAAATTTCTGTTAAACTAAGTTCGGTCTGACTACAGACTACAGTGGTAGGGACATGGGAAACGTAAAAGAGTTCTTAACTGGATCGGGTGGTCCGACTCGCTGACTTAGTTGACATATCATCATATTTCAATTGCGTAGATTGATGCTCATGCTGTTGGATCATTGGAGTGTCTGGTCGATAATCGATTATTTACAGTTCGCCACCAAATGTGCTCAAGAATGGGTAAACTTCGCCATTTTTTAATGCAAACTGATACACATGGTTGATGATCATTGGGAATGGTCTACTGTTGTATAATGATACACATCTAGCGGCCCACACTCTGACTTTAGAAGGCAATTACATCAATTGACCGATCGAACACACATTATTATTGTTTTTGTATCTGAACTGTAGTACACTCTCTTCTTGCGTAATGATTACTCTTGCGAAAAATAGGTTTTCTCTAAATGTTTTTTTCTCTCTCTTTAATTTATTGCATTATTGGTTCCTGTTGTTCTTTCCTCTTGAGGATCATGGCTCTTTTCAAACAATAACCATGAGCGAGCGGCACAATAACTATAGCTAAATGATAAATAATGTTTCTATATTCAGTAAATACGTGTCTAGTTGAGAACTTACTTGGATCACATATGATGCCAACATCTTTACTATGGTAACAATTGTTGTCGCCCCATGGATTGTGAACATTTGGCCAAAGATGATTCGGCTCCGCTGCAATTCACTTGATCCAACCAAATCCTCCCTCCTCCAAAACCGAAACCTTGAATCGCCCTCGGTTTAAGTCCGCTTTTGCTAAACACACATATTAAGTGTTGAATAATGAACAGTGATATCAAAGTGTCAAACCATTTTCATACATACCTCGACCACCTTAGTACATGACACAGCTACCATCACTGCAAGGTGTCAAATTATTTTCAAACGCACCTCGACTACCTCAGTACATCACACAGCTATCATCACTGCAAGGTGTCCAACTATTTCCATACGTACCTCGACTACCACAGTACATAACACAGCTACCGTCACTGCAAGGTGTCCAACTATTCTCATACATACCTCGACCATCTCAGTACATCACACAGCTTCCATCACGGCAAGTTGTCCTACTATTTTCATACATACCTCGATCATCTCACTACATCACATAGCTACCATCACTGCAATGTGTCCAACTATTTTCATACATACCTCGACCACCTCAGTATATCACACAGCTACCGTCACTGCAAAGTGTCCAATTATTTTCAAACGCACCTCGACTACCTCAGTACATCAGACAGCTACCATCACTGCAAGGTGTCCAAATACTTTCATACATTCCTCGACCACTTCAGTATATCACACACATACCATCACTGCAAGGTGTCCAACTATTGCTATACATTCCTTGATCACCTCAGTACATCAGACAGCTACCATCACTGCAAGGGGTCCAAATACTTTCATACATTCCTCGATGACCTCAGTACATCACACACAGCTACCATCCCTGCAAGGTGTCCAACTATTGTCATACCTTCCTCGACCACCTCAGTACATCACACAGCTACCATCGCTGCAAGGTGTCCAATTATTTTCATTCGTACCTCCACTAACAGAGTTCATCACAGAGCTACCACCACTGCAAGGTGTCCAGCTGTTTTCAAACGCACCTCGACTACTTCAGTACATGGTACAGCTACCATCACTGCAAGGTGTCCAACTATTTTCATACGTTTCTCGACTCACACAGTACATCACACAGTTACCATCAATTCACGGTGTCCAATTATTTTCATTTGTACCTCGACTACGTCAGTACATCAAACAGCTACCATCACTGCAAGGTGTCAAACTATTTTCATACGTACCTCGACTACCACAGTACATCACACAGCTATCATCACTGCAAGGTGTCAAACTATTTCCATACATACCTCGACTGCCTCAGTACATGACACAGCTACCATCACCGCAAGGTGTCCAAGTATTCTAATACATACCTCGACCACCTCAGTACTTCCCACAGCTAACCATCACTGCAAGGTGTCCAAATACTTTCATACATTCCTCGACCACTTCAGTATATCACACACATACCATCACTGCAAGGTGTCCAACTATTGCTATACATTCCTTGACCACCTCAGTACATCAGACAGCTACCATCACTGCAAGAGGTCCAAATACTTTCATACATTCCTCGATCACCTCAGTATATCACACAGCTACCATTACTGCAAGGTGTCCAACTATTTTCATACATTCCTCGATGACCTCAGTACATCACACACAGCTACCATCCCTGCAAGGTGTCCAACTATTGTCATACCTTCCTCGACCACCTCAGTACATCACACAGCTACCATCACTGCAAGGTGTCCAATTATTTTCATTCGTACCTCCACTAACAGAGTTCATCACAGAGCTACCACCACTGCAAGGTGTCCAGCTGTTTTCAAACGCACCTCGACTACTTCAGTACATGGCACAGCTACCATCACTGCAAGGTGTCCAACTATTTTCATTTGTACCTCGACTACGTCAGTACATCAAACAGCTACCATCACTGCAAGGTGTCAAACTATTTTCATACGTACCTCGACTACCACAGTACATCACACAGCTATCATCACTGCAAGGTGTCCAACTTTTTCCATACATACCTCGACCACCTCAGTACTTCCCACAGCTAACCATCACTACAAGGTGTCCAATTATTTTGAAACTCACCTCGATTACATGAGTACATCACACAGCTACCGTCACTGCAAGGTGTCCAAATACTTTCATACATTCCTCGACCACCTCAGTATATCACACAGCTACCATTACTGCAAGGTGTCCAACTATTTTCATACATTCCTCGATGACCTCAGTACATCACACACATACCATCACTGCAAGGTGTCCAACTATTGTCATACATTCCTCGATCACCTCAGTACATCACACAGCTACCATCACGGCAAGTTGTACAAGTAGTTTCATATATTCGTCGACCACTTCAGTACATAACACACCTACCATCACTGCAAAGTGTCCAACTATTTTCATTCGAACCTCGACTAACACAGTACATCATACAGCTACCATCACCGCAAGGTGTCCAATTATTTTCAAACACACCTCGATTACCTCAGTACATCACACATCTACCATCATTGCAAGGTGTGCAATTAATTCCATTCGTACCTCGACTACCTCACTACATCACAAAGCTACCATCGCTGCAAGGAGTACAGTTATTTTCATTCGTACCTCGACTACTTCGGTACGTCACACAGCTACGATCACTGGAAGATGTCCAACTATTTTCATACATCCCTCGACCACCTCAGTACATCACACAGTTACCATCACTGGAAGATGTCCAACTATTTTCATACATCCCTCGACCACCTCAGTAGATCACACTGTTACCATCACTGCAAGGTGTCCAACTATTCTAATACATACCTCGACCACATCAGTATATCACATAGCTACCATCACTGCAAGGTGTCCAATTATTTTCAATCGTACTTCCACGAACACAGTTCATCACTCAGCTGCCATCACTGCAAGGTGTCCAGCTATTTTCAAACGCACCTCGACTACCTCAGTACATGACACATCTATCATCACTGCAAGGTGACCAACTATTTTCAAACGCACCTCGACCATCTCACCAGATCACACAGCTACCATCATTGCAAGGTGTCCAATTATTTTCAAACGTACCTCGACTAACACAGTACATGACACAGCTACTATCACTGCAAGGTGTCCAGTTATTTTCATTTTTCCCTAGATTACTTCAGTACGTCACATCAGCTACCATCTCGGCATGGTGTCCAACAACTTTCAAACGTACCTCGACCACCTCAGTACATCACACAGCTACCGTCACTGCACGGTGTCCAGTTATTTTCAAACGCACCTCGACTACCTGAGTACTTGACACAGCTACCATCACTGCAAGGTGTCCAATTATTTTCATTTTTACCTGGACTACTTCAGTACGTCACACAGCTACCATCACTGCAAGGTGTACAACTATTTTCAAACGTACCTCGACTACCTCAGTACATCACACAGTCACCATCACTGCAAGTCGTCAAACTATTTTCATGCTTTCCTAGACCACCTCAGTACATGAAACAGCTACCATCACGGTAATGTGTCTGACTATTTTCATACATACCTCGACCACCTCAGTACATCACACAGCTATCATCAGGGTCAGGTGTCGAATTCTTTTATTACATTCCTCGACCATCTCAGTACATCACACAGCTACCATCACTGCAAGGTGTCCAACTGTTGTCATACATTCCTCGACCACCTCAGTAAATCACAGAGCTACCGTCACTGCAAGGTGTCCAACTATTTTCATACATACTTCGACCACCTCAGTACATCACACAGCTACCATCACTGCAAGGTGTCCAATTATTTTCAATCGTACTTCCACGAACACAGTTCATCACTTAGCTACCATCACTGCAAGGTGACCAACTATTTTCAAACGCACCTCGACTACCTCGGTTCATCACACACATACAATCACAGCAACGTGAACAATTATTTTCATTCGTACCTCGACTACTTCAGTACGTCACACAGCTACGATCACTGCAAGATGCCCAACTATTTTCATACATTCCTCGACAACCTCAGTACATCACACAGCTATCATCACTGCAAGGTGTCTAACTATTTTCATGCATACCTCGACCATCTCACTACATAACACAGCTACCATCACTGCAATGTGTCCCATTATTTTCATACGTACCTCGACTAACACAGTACATCACACAGCTACCATCACTACAAGGTGTCCAACTATTTTGAAACCCAACTCGACAACCTCAGCAGATCACACAGCTACCATCAGGGCAAGGTGTCCCACTGTTGTCATACATTCCTCGACCACCTCAGTACATCACACAGCTACCATCACTGCAAGGTGTCCCACTGTTCTCATACATTCCTCGACAACCTCAGTACATCACACAGCTACCATCACTGCAAGGTGTCCCACTGCTGTCATATATTCCTCGACAACCGCAGTACATCACACAGCTACCGTCACTGCAAGATGTCCAACTATTTTCATACATACCTCGACCACCTCAGTACATCACACAGCTACCATCACTGCAACGTCTCCAATTATTTTCATTCATACCTCGACTAACACAGTACATAACACAGCTACCATCAATACAAGGTGTCCAGCAATTTTCAAACGTTCCTCGACTAACACAGTACATCACACAGCTACCATCACTGCAAGGTGTACAATTTTCATTGGTACCTCGACTACTTCAGTACGTCACACAGCTACCATCACTGCAATGCGTCCCACTATTGTCATATATTCTTCGACCACCTCACTGCATCACACAGCTATCATCACTGCAAGGGGTCCAATTATTTTCAAACGCACCTAGACTACCTCAGGACATCAAACAGCTACCATCACCGCAAGGTGTCCAACTATTTTCATGCGTACCTCGACTACCACAGTACATCACACAGCTATCATCACTGCAAGGTGTCCAATTATTTTAAAACATACTTCGACTAACACTTTACATCACCCAAGTACCACCACTGCAAGGTGTCCAACTATTTCAAACGCACCTCGACTACCGCAGTACATAACACAGCTACTATCACCGCAAGGTGTCCAACTAATTTAGCACGTACCTCGACTTCCTCAGTACATATCACAGCTACCATCACTGCAAGGTGTCCAACTACTTTCAAACATACCTCGAATACCTCAGTACATCACACAGCTACCATCACTACAAGGTGTCCAACTATTTTGAAACCCAACTCGACAACCTCAGCAGATCACACAGCTACCATCAGGGCAAGGTGTCCCACTGTTATCATACATTCCTCGACCACCTCAGTACATCATACAGCTATCATCACTGCAAGGTGTCCAACTATTCTCATACATTCTTCGACCACCTCAGAACATCACACAGCTACCATCACTGCAAGTTGTTCTACTATCATTTTCATACATACCTCGACCATCTCACTACAGCACACAGCTACCATCACTGCAAGGGTTCCAACTATTTTCATACATTCCTCGACAACCTCAGTACATCATACAGCTACCATCACTGTAAGGGGTCCAAATATTTTCTGACATTCCTCGACCACCTCACTGCTTCACACAGCTACCATCACTGCAAGGTTTCCAACTATTTTCACAAATTCCTCGACGATCTCAGTACATCACACAGCTGCCGTCACTGCAAGGTGTCCCATGTCATCGGTTCCCAATTGCGCAGATCGATGCTCATGCTGTTGATCACTGGATTGTCTGGTCCAGACTCGATTATGTACAGACCGCCGCCATATAGTTGGAATATTGCTGAGTGCGGCATAAAACTAAACTCACACACACACTGCAAGGTGTCCAACTATTGTCATACATTCTTCGACCACCTCAGTACATGACACAGTTACCATCACTGCAAGTTGTACAACTAGTTTCATATATTCGTCGACCACCTGAGTACATAACACAGCTACCATCACTGCAAGGTGTCCAAATATTTTCATATATTCGTCGACTACCTCAGTACATCACACAGCTACCATCACTGCAAGGAGTCAGATTATTTCCATTAATACCTCGACTACCTCAGTACATCACACAGCTGTCATCACTGCAAGGTTTCCAAATATTTTCAGACATTCCTCGAACACATCACTACATCACACAGTTACTATCACTGCAAAGTTTCCAACTATTTTCACACATTCCTCGACGACCTCAGTACATAACACAGCTGCCGTCACTGCAAGGTGTCCCATGTCATCGGTTCACAATTGCGCAGATCGATGCTCATGCTGTTTATCACTTGATTGTCTGGTCCAGACTCGATTATTTACAGAGCGCCGTCATATGGCTGGAATATTGCTGAGTGTGGCGTAAAACTAAACTCACACACACACTGCAAGGTGTCCAACTATTGTCATACATTCCTCGACAACCTCAGTACATTACACAGCTACCATCACTGCAAGGTGTCCAAATATTTTCATACATACCTCGACCACCTCAGTACATGGCGCAGCTGCAATCACTGCAAGGTGTCCAACTATTTTCATCCATTCCTCGACCACCTCAGTACATCACACAGCTACCATCACTGCAAGGTGTCCAAATATTTTCATACATTCTTCGACCACCTCAGTACATCACACAGCTGCCATGACTGCAAGTTGTTCAATTATTTTCATACATTCCTCGACCACCTCACTACATCACACACCTACCATCACTGAAAGTTGTCCTACTATTATTTTCATACATACCTCGACCACCTCAGTACATCACACAGCTACCATCACTGCAAGGTGTCCAAATATTTTCTTACATTCCTCGACCACCTCAGTACTCACACAGCTACCATCACTGCAAGTTGTACAACTAGTTTCATATATTCGTCGACCACTTCAGTACATTACACACCTACAATCACTGCAATGTGTCCAACTATTTTCATACATTCCTCGACTACCTCAGTACAAGACGCAGCTGCCATCACTGCAATGTGTCCAATTATTTTCATACATTCCTCGACCACCTCAGTACATCACACAGCTACCATCACTGCAAGGTGTCCAAATATTTTCATACATTCTTCGACCACCTCAGTACATCACACAGTTACCATCACTGCAAGATGTTCAACTAGTTTCATATATTCGTCGACCACCTCAGTACATAAAACACCTACCATCACTGTAAGGTGTCCAAATATTATCATACATTCCTCGACCACCTCAGTACTCACACAGTTACCATCACTATAAGTTGTACAACTAGTTTCATATATTCGTCGACCACTTCAGTACATTACACACCTACAATCACTGCAATGTGTCCAACTATTTTCATACATTCCTCGACTACCTCAGTACAAGACGCAGCTGCCATCACTGCAAGGTGTCCAAATATTTTCATACATTCCTCGACCACCTCAGTACATCACACACCTACCATCACTGAAAGTTCTCCTACTATTATTTTCATACATACCTCGACCGCCTCAGTACATCACACAGCTACAATCACTGCAATTTGTCCAACTAATTTCATACATTCCTCGACCACCTCAGTACATCACACAGCTGCGATGACTGCAAGTTGTTCAATTATTTTCATACATTCCTCGACCACCTCACTACATCACACACCTACCATCACTGAAAATTCTCCTACTATTATTTTCATACATACCTCGACCACCTCAGTACATCACACAGCTACAATCACTGCAAGGTGTCCAACTAATTTCATACATTCCTCGACCACCTCAGTACATCACACAGCTGCCATGACTGCAAGTTGTTCAATTATTTTCATACATTCCTCGACCACCTCACTACATCACACACCTACCATCACTGAAAGTAGTCCTACTATTATTTTCATACATACCTCGACCACCTCAGTACATCTAACAGCTACCATCACTGCAAGGTGTCCAAATATTTTCTTACATTCCTCGACCACCTCAGTACTCACACAGCTACCATCACTGCAAGTTGTACAACTAGTTTCATATATTCGTCGACCACCTCAGTACATAACACACCTACAATCACTCCAATGTTTCCAACTATGTTCATACATTCCTCGAGAACCTCAGTACATGACACAGCTGCCATCACTGCAAGGTGTCCAATTATTGTCATACATTCCTCGACCACCTCAGTACATCACACAGCTACCATCACTGCAAGGTGTCCAACTAGTTTCATATATTCGTCGACCACCTCAGTACATAACACACCTACCATCACTGCAACGTGTCTAACTATTTTCATACACTCCTCGACCACCTCAGTACATAACACACCTATCATCTCTGCAAAGTGTCTAATATTTTCATTAGTATCTCGACTATCTCAGTACATCATACAGCTACCATCACTGCAAGGTGTCCAACTATTTTCAAACGTACGTCGATTACCTCAGTACATCACACAGCTACGATCTCTGCAAAAAGTCCATCTATTTTCATACATTCCTCGACCACCTCAGTACATCACACACCTACCATCACTGAAAGTTCTCCTACTATTATTTTCATACATACCTCGACTACCTCAGTACATCACACAGCTACGATCTCTGCAAAATGTCCACCTATTTTCATACATTCCTCGACTACCTCAGTATATCATACAGCTACCATCACTGCAAGGTGTCCTACTATTATTTTCACAGATACCTCGACCACCTCAGTACGTCACACAGCTACCATCACTGCAAGGTGTCCAGATATTTTCATACATACCTCAACTATTTCAATACACCTCATACAGTAAACTATTTTCCTAATGAATGGTGATTTTACAACCTTACATTGATGCACTTAATACACCTTATACACGTTTCTGGTGCCAAATCAAACGTTAGTAATATCCCTCTGTTCTGTAAAGCATGTTCGTTATAAACGTAGTTTAATGTATTAATTATAATAATATGCTGTCCTACCTTTTAGCAGCTACAAAAATAAAATGTGCATTGTTGAAATTCTGTCTAAATGTAGCAACGAAAATACGCAGCCACCTTGCGTTGACTTATTCCCCCAGGAGCCATTCCTAAAGTCTCATGGCGCTGGATAGTTGAGTCGTGGCATAATATGCGGGTCATTAGCCCTTAAATTCTTTTCAACGATCAGACGCCAAAGCTTCCTGTAACACTATATCTCGTGTACACTTGTCTGAGATACGTCAAGCTCGTCAAAACATAACAAGAGTGACGTAAACAATTGTTTTCGCTCATCAGCCTTTAAAAGCAGACAACACAGCTGAGACAGCGCCTGAGCCGACAGACAGGAGAAGAGAGCGGACGAACCAGCAGCAAGGCAAGCCAGGAACAAGGAGGGCCGGGCACTGACCAGTAAATCCAGCCATCTGCTGCTCAAGCTTCTGCCTGTTTTTGTCACCTTTCCCTGGTAGCCTCTGTCGGACTCCGTAAACTGTGTGTGTAAAATGTTCGCCCTACCTAACAACGTTGTACTTCGAGAATAAAAATACCCGCTCTGTACGTCACATCGCCTCGTGTTGTTTGAACAGCGTCAGAGCTGTTACATCACCAAATCGACAGCAACTTAATATATTAATATCACGGAGGTGAGGTGAGGTGGGGTTTAACGTCGTACTAAAGAATATTTCGCTCATATGACGACGGGCATGTGTGTGTAATGTGTGGCTGCTTGTACTAGCCCAGACTTGAGCTGGTTTTACAGTGCATGCCAACTGAGAAACCATGTCGCATGAATACCCCACTCAGACACATTATACTGACTCCGAGCCGACCAGTCCTTGTTGTACCCATTAATGCCGAGCGCCAGGCAGGGACCAACAAGTACCATGTTTTAACGTCTTTTGGTTTGACGCGGCCGGGGATCGAACCCGACCTTCCGCTCTCTATACCTCGGATGGCGCCAGTCGTAGCACATGCATATCTGTTCAGTTCAATTTACTAATTCCTGAGTTCTCATTTGTATGTGTCTACACGTGTAGGTCAAATAAGCATTTGTATTTCCTATGAGAACAGTTTCTTGTGGCAGTATATTTACGTTGGACGTGATACCTTCGTATTTCTCATTGTTTCCTATAAGCACGATCACACTGATGATTGTGGTCTGTGTTGTTTAACACCGTTATTCTGACCATATGAAAATATCTTGTATGAACATTAGTAGTATTTTTAACATGGCGTCTTACTATCGTGCTAGTTGTTTGCAGGCCACTTTAGCTTCATCAGCACCAAAGTCATCGTCACACACAGTGCCCCAGGTGCCTTTATAGTACACCTCAAGTCTCCCAACTCCATTGTCCAGTGGGGACACTAGTCGGATTTCCTGCCCAAACACTGAAACATGTGAGAAAGTTGGTCAGTATCAAACAACAATTACCGAACACTTCTTTCCAGCTACAGAAGAATATTTAGTTATTTCCAATTATACTTATCATGCGAAATATTATTATTATAATTATTAGGTTTTACAGATTAAAAATAATATGCAGCAGAGAGGGTTCGGGTAATCCTGGCACAGTTAGGCTGGTAAGGCTCATCATCAGCTCAGGGCCCTTGCCCCCTCTACACGCAGCCCAGACAGCGAATGGGACTTCACCCAAGAAACGCTGCCTTGTCGAACCCACCAAGAACTTTCCGGAGAATATGTAAACTCCCCAACACTGCAGCCTTCATGCATTATCCAGGGTGTCAGAAGAGCTGTGCTCCGCGCAAGAGATCAGGAGGTACCACACCAAGGGCACCGAGAACAATGGGGAGCCTGACGACAGTGTACCTGGGACAAGCGAGACATTTCAAAGGCGAGGTCTGCATATTTAGAATGCTTCTCCCGAATCTTGCAAATCACGTTGCTGTCAAAAGGGACAGAAAATTCAATGGTATAAATAGATTCATTGGCTTTATCAAAAAGGACAAGATCAGGTTTGTTGGCTGGAATTCTCCTTAGGCTGTATATGGGCCTATTCCACCAACGTTTGAAAGCATCATTTTCAATGACGCCCTGGACATGTTCAGGGTCGGACCATGGAAGGACCTGAGAGTCAAAGCCACATGCATCGCGAAGACGGTAATAAAAGCAACGAGCCATGCCATCATGTTTCTTAAGATATGCTGTTTGTGCTAAGGAAGGTCATCCACTGACAAGGCGTTGCACAGTCTCTGTAAATTCATTACACAGTCGGCATTTCATGTTAATACCTTTTAAGAATCACATTTTGGCGATTACGAGTGGGAAGTGACTGGTCCTGAGCAGCTAAAAGGAAGCTCTGTGTTTCACATTTGATACCAGCCGACTTCATCCAGGCAAAGGAGTTATTTTTATTATTGGATATATATATATATATATATATATATATATATATATATATATATATATATATATAAAGCGAACATATCCACGCACTAGTGCATGCTCAAGGCGCTGGTATTTTTCCCTCGATCATTGGATGTCAATCTCAACAGCACATCTTATTATCAATCTCAGCTATTGCGAGTTATTGCGGCTTTCCCATCCTTACGAGGTACCCATTCATAGCTGGGTGGACTGGGACACATAGTCACAGTACTTTGTCCAAGTTTTTTACTGCACGTTGCTGTACCCGCAACTAGGTGTTTGCACGTATTCATGAAGCCACCATCTGGTCATATACCAACGGATTCGTTGGTTCTTTTAAGTGCACAGGGTCGTGTACTGTACACTAGGAGTTGTGACAACACTGAAAGAGTCTGCACACAAAGCTGACTCCAAGGATTTTACGCCCGGTCACAGGTAGGCTCGATCCCGGCACCTCTTGCTCGCTGGTACTTTTTGTTTCAACAAACTCAGTGAAGGCACTATTGTGTCATGTGTTCTCGTCACAGTCACCTTACTCACTTATTTGTAATTGCAGCTGAAGTACTGCTTTGCAGCGCCAGGCAACACTTAGCTTTTTATACGAATTTGTGTCAGACACTGACAGTACACACCTGACGTACTGACAGCACACACCTGACGTACTGACAACACACACCTTACGTACTGACAACACACAGCTTACGTACTGACTACACACACCTGACATACTGACAACACACACCTTACGTACTGACAACACACACCTTACGTACTGACAACACACACCTGACATACTAACAGTACACAACTGACGTACTGACAACATACACCTGACGTACTGACAGCACACACCTGGTGTACAGATAACACACACCTGACGTACTGACAGCACACACCTGACGTACTGACTACACACACCTGACGTACTGACAACACACACCTGACGTACTGACAACACACACCTGACGTACTGACAACACACACCTGACGTACTGACAGCACACACCTGACGTACTGACAACACACACCTGACATACTGACAGCACACACCTGACGTATTGACAGTACACACCTGACGTACTGACAACACACTTTGATAAAATAAAACAGTCAAACACTCCCGAAATACATGCTCATCCCTCTGCGGTTGTGTCGAATATCGCAGTATATCGCAATCGAGTAGGATTAAATGTGTGCAAGATTTGATTTCAAGATTCAAGATCGATTATTCCTCATCAAAGGCTTCCAGCCCAGAGTACATGTATATATAATGTATGTGTTGTCAAGTCACAGTGTATATCATTACCATTTATAATGGTTCAGTTTCCCATCACCAGAATTAAATGAAGCGTTGGTGAAGTTGTCAGTTGTCTGCCTTAGCTCTCAACATACAGCTGTCTGATCTGTGTGCACTTAAGAATACAGTGTTAAAGATTCTGACATAGTGTTATCTGTCGTAACTTATACTTGGTAAAAACCTGTTTCTCAACTGTTATACAAATGACATTAAGCAAGAGAGTGCTAGAGATTCTGACATAGTATTATCTGTGATAACTTTCTAGGATTGTCTACATTGCATGAATTATTTGTACAATACTTGGTAAAAACTTGTTTCTCAGTTTGTTATACAGATGACATGAAGTGATTAGTGCACTTGTTCAACTGCAGATAAATTCAAATTCGAGTCACAATGTATATTATTAACAATTATAATGATTAAGTTTCCATAACCAAAAGTAAATAAGGCATTCATAAAATTGTCAGTTGTCGCCCTCAGCTGTTACCTTTCAGCTATTTGATTTGTGTGCATTTCAGAATATACAGAGCAAAATATTCTAACACAGTATTATCTGTCGTAACTTTCTTAAATTTGTCTACATTACATAAATAAATTGCTTGTGCAAACACTTGAAATTGCTGACAACTGAAGGAATGGTGTAAATCCAGCTAGGGTCCATATAGGTAGCAAAAGTAATGTAATTTCCCATGGTCCCTGGTATGGTGATCTCCCGTCTGTTGTTGGCAATCTATAGCCTGTTTTTATATTGTGTTGTCATGTATAGTTAAAATGTTTTAGAGTGAGTGAGTTAATATTTAACGTCACATCGGCAATATTTCAGCCATATCGTGACGAGAACATTTGATATTGAAATAAAATATATGTATGTTATAAAACACCTGCCGACGAAGGACAGTAAAACAACTAGAGTATCACAGATATACATGTAAAACTAGTAATTGGATCTAAAACATTTTAACCATAGGGGACAACACAATATAAAAATGGGCTATAGATCGCCACCAACTGAAGGTAGATCACCATGTTAGGAGCCATGGGGACTTACATTACTTTTGCTACCTGCATGAATCCTAGCTGGATTTACACCATCCCTTCAGCCGCTGGCGATTGTAGGAAAATTTAGCCAACAGTTAAAATAACAAAAATACTACGTTTAAAATGTGATAATTTATATTTTACTTTGAAAGTTTTGGGACTTATGTACCCTCTCAGGAGGACAATAATTTTACGCTACTTCAACCCCCTTTGAGGGTACAGCCACTAACATTCTCAGTTACTAATTTAAATTACCAATAATAAAATATTGATCTATTTACAAATCAGTCAACAAATCTAATTCTTTTAAAAATTCAACTATTAAATGATAATTAACATTATAAAAAAGATCCTTGAATGTTTTGACATTAAAATACGTATCCCTTGTGATGGAATATTCAACACAGTCAAGCAGGACATGCTTGACCGTGATTCTTTCATCACAAGGGATACAAAACGGAGGATCCTCACCTTTCAATAGGTACTCATGAGTATATCTTGTGTGGCCAATACGACATCGTCGCATAATGACCTCTTCAAATCTGGACTGACAACCCAAGTAAGTGTAACCGATATAGGGTTTTTTGTCATGTAATTTATTGATACCTACTTGGGTGTCCCACTTCTTTTGCATCAGATCACGGATGCAGGTTCTAATGCTAGCTTTGTAGTCAGAGTATGGGATAAGAAGTGGTGTCACAGATTTGTTGAGTGCTGCCTTGGCAGCAAAATCGGCCATTGTATTCCCAGAAATACCAACGTGGCTGGGTAACCAAAAGAGGACGATGTCGTATTGAACAGTTGCAAGATCATTATATAATTCTATAATTTCTATTAAAAACGGTTGTTTACAAGAAATATTTTTAATCGCCTGAAGGCAAGAAAGAGAGTCTGAAAATATGATATATTGTTTATATTTAGGGTGTCTATTTATATACTTAAGAGCTGTTAGTATTGCGTTTGCTTCTGCTGTGAAAATTGAACTGTCATTGGGTAATCTGGAAGATATTGTTTTGGACCCAATGACAGTGGCAGAAGCATCGCGCCACCTTCCTCGGATTTATATGTATTATATTTACTTTTTAATTCATTATATTCTTGTTGATATTGTAAGTCATTAGTTTCTGATTTTTTAAATTTAGTGAGTGTTAGGTCGACTTGTGGCCTAACCAACTGCCAAGGAGGAGAAGAAAGAAGACGGGAAGGAGCTATATTTTCCAGCTCAATGCCAGCAGTAGCAATAAATGGCTTAATTCTGAGCCCAAAAAGGCGGAACAAGAGAAGATTTTTTTGCTATACAAATCATCATAAGGAGGATTAAAGACACAGTGAAATGCAGGATTAGACTCGTTAGAATATAATTTTGTAATATATTGTAATGATAATTTTATACGGCGTTGGTTAAGAGAAGGTTCATCTGCCTCGACGTAAAGACTGTCAACAGGAGAGGTTCTGAAGGACCCAAGACCTTGATAGTGGACTGAATCTAAGAGTTTTAGGTTGCTTTTGCAGGCTCCATCATATACGATGGAGCCATAATCAAGCTTTGAGCGGACAGGTGATCTGTAAAGGTGTAGGAGCTTAACTTGATCCCTTCCCCACCTTGAATTAGACACGACTTTCAATAAATCGAGTGCCTTCAGGCATTTAGTTTTTAGGGATTTAATATGCGGAAGAAAGGTTAAATGGGAGTCGAAAATCAGACCCAAGAATTTGGCCTCTTTTACAACTTTGATGGGAGTGCCATTTAAAGATAGTTCTGGGTCCTTATGAGGCTTATATTTACGGCAGAAATGTATGCAATTAGTTTTTGATTTAGAAAATTTAAAGCCGTTTTCAAGACACCATTTATGTATTTTATTTAAACATTTGCATTTGCCGTTCAATAGTATGCATATTTTTACCACGACAAGAAATATTAAAATCATCCACAAAAAGTGATCCATCAATTGAATCATTTAAGACCTTGGATAAACTGTTAATCTTAATGCTAAATAATGTGACAGACAAAATACTGCCTTGATGGACACCCTGATCCTGATTGTAATGATCAGACAGGGTTGAACCCACTCGGACTTGAAATTGCCTGCCTTTTAGAAACTGTGATATAAAAAGAGGCAAACGGCCCCTCAAACCAAAATCATGTAAATCCTTCAAAATGCCATGCTTCCAGGTGGTATCGTATGCTTTCTCGAAATCAAAGAATATCGATACTGCATGTTGTTTATTTATTATTGCATTTTTAACAAAGGATTCTAAAATGTTTTAGATCTAATTTCTAGTTTAAAGTTTCTATCTGTGTTAATCTAGATGTTTTAATGTCCTTCGTTGACAGAATTTTATGATTTACCTTGAATTATTATTAATCTATAACTTGATTTAGTCACGATATGGCTGAAATAATGCCAAAGTGACTTTAGATTTTAACTAACCCACTCACTCACTACAAACACTTGGTAAAAAACTTGTTTCTCAACTTGTTATACAAGCAACATGAAATGGCCAAATTTTAAGGCCAAATTATGATTCCCACATCTGAACCTGCTCAGAACAATTCTTAATTTTTTACTGTTGTAACAGATACCTTTCAAGTTCTAACAGATTTGATTATGAAACAGTTATCACCTATGGTATAAGTTCATGTTTGTTTCCAACAGTCTCGCAACCGTTCCTTACAAACTCTAAGAATATTGGAGACATTACCAACACATTTGACCGATTAGTTAGCATTATATTATGTGAGTGAGTGAGTGAGTGAGTTTAATTATACTCCGCTTTTAGCAACATTCATGCAATATTTTGGGGACACCAGAAATGGGCTTCACACACTGTGCCCATGTGGGGAATCGAACACGGTTCTTTGGCCTCACGAGCGAAGGCCTTAACCACAAGGCTACCCGAAGGCCCCAGAATTATATTATTAGAATTGGAAACTTCAAGTCAAGTTGGAGAAAGTAAAGTGTTTGGCAAGGGCAGTCCGCAATCAAGAAAACAAAACTAGATTTTTGAAGTGAAAATACTGGATGTTCAGACACAACGGTCTACAAAGGCAGGAGGAATGAACTATAGACACAGTGGGCCTCACAGCATATGTCATGTGAATAAATAGACAGATACCACTGACAGTCAGCGGAATTAAAATAGACAAAGTGGAACTCACAACATATGTCACGTGAATAAAATAGACAGCTTCAACTGACAGCGGAATTAACTATAGACACAGTGTGACTCACAACATATGTCACGTGAATAAAATAGACACCTACCACTGACAGTCAGCGGAATGAACAATAGACAAAGCAGAACTCACTTCATATGTCATGTAAATAAAATAGACACCTACCACTGACAGTCAGTGGAATGAACAATAGACAACGCAGAACTCACTACATATGTCATGTAAATATAATAGACACCTACCGCTGACAGTCACCGTAGCTAGAAACATCAAACAAATCTTCAGCCTCTTGTCCATGATGGCGTGACACAAGGACACATTAGAACCCCTATCGTCCTAGTTGAACTTGTACAAGTGGATTTTATTATCCTGACATGTCCCTCCCAAAACTGCAGAGTATCTCCGAACCACAGTTCAACTTGGCCGTCTGAGTATGTTTAAGTATTGAACTTCCTGGTCGACAATATACAGTGTGAAGGACGCAGACATCAGGATCTGTGCAACGTCATGGCTTTACCCAACGTCAAGAGCACACTTGACAAGACGATATCTCTTCCTCATTGATCTATATGTGTTTACCGGGACGGATGTTGTGCAAACTGATAAACATGTAAAATGATTTGCGACATGTTTTTGTTTTTACATTTTATTCTAGATTATTCTCAAGTGTTAACTTTCTTGCATGTTTTACAAAACTTCCATATTTTCAAATGCGGAAGGACCTGTTATCAAAAAATTACTTATCCTTTTGTTATTCTGTTTGCTTTTGTTTTGTTTTGCTTTGTGTGTTATGTTTTGGTCTTAATCATGAGGTTGTATTTCTTAGTGCGCCGTACTGGACCATGTCTCTTGAACATGCCTTCCAGTTACTTTATGTTGTTAGAATATTGTTCTCGTTTTTCAAATGAAAACTAGAATCTGTACTTTTCTAAGAAGTCTAATCACACAAGTTAGGCGGCTGGATTTGTTTGCTGGCGATTAGGTGTCTGACTCTGATGGTGTATGTTCGAATCTCCGATGCGATTTCAAATTGTGAAATATTTTGAGTGAGTGAGTGAGTTAAGATTTAAAGTCACATCGGCAATATTTCAGCTATATCGTGACTAAAACTAGTTCTAAATTTATAATACATACATATAATATATAAAACCCTGTCAACGAAGGACAGTAAAACCACTAGATTATCACAATATGAGTTAAAACTAGCTAGCATATAACTTTAAAAGTAGAAAACTATATTTGGACAATACAATGTAAAAAATTGGCTATAGATCGCCAACAACTGAAGGTAGATCACCATACTAGGAACCATGGGGACTTACATTACTTTTGCTACCTGCATGAATCCTAGCTGGATTTACACCATCCCTTCAGCCGCTGGCGATTGTAGGAAAATTTAGCCAACAGTTAAAATAACACAAATACTACGTTTAAAATGTGATAATTTATATTTTACTTTGAAAGTTTTGGGACTTACGTATCCTCTCAGTCTCAGGAGGACAATATCTTCCGCTACTTCAACCCCCTTTGAGGGTACAGACACTAACAATCTCAGTTTCTAATCTAAACTACCAATAATAAAATATTTAGCTTTTTACAAATCAGTCAACAAATTTAATTCTTTTAAAAATTCAACTATTAAATGATAACTAACATTATAAAAAAAGATCCTTGAATGTTTTGACATTGAAATACTTATCCCTTGTGATGGAAAATTCAACACAGTCAAGCAGGACATGCTTGACCGTGATTCTTTCATCACAAGGGATACAAAACGGATGATCCTCACCTTTTAATAGGTACGCATGAGTATATCGTGTGTGGCCAATACGACATCGTCGTATGATGACCTCTTCAAATCTGGACTGACAACCCAAGTAGGTGTAACCGATAGTTGGTTTTATTGCATGTAATTTATTTAGACCTACTTGGGTATCCCACTTCTTCTGCATCAGATCACGGATATAAGATCTGAAAGCAGCTTTGTAATCAGAGTAGAGGATTAGAAGTGGTGTCACAGATTTGTTGAGTGCTGCTTTGGCAGCAAGATCGGCCATTGTATTCCCAGAAATACCAACGTGGCTGGGTAACCAACAGAAGACGATGTCGCATTGGCCAGTAACAAGCTCATTATATAATTCGATTATTTCAATTATAAGTGGATGTTTGCAAGAGAGATTTTTAATAGTCTGAAGGCAAGAAAGAGAGTCAGAAAATATTATATATTGTTTATGTTTGGGATGTCTTTGAATATATTTAAGAGCTGTTAAGATGGCGTTTGCTTCTGCTGTAAATATAGAGCTGTTATCAGGTATTCTAGAAGATATTGTTCTGGATCCAATGACAGTGACACATGCCACTGCGCCACCGTCCTTGGACCCATCTGTAAATAAGGATTTGTATGTATTATATTTGATTTTTAATTGATTATATTCTTGTTTACACTGTAAGTCATTAGTTTCAGATTTCTTAAACTTCGTCAGAGTTAGGTCAACTTCAGGCCTCACCAGTTGCCAAGGAGGAGAAGAAAGAAGACGGGAAGGAGCTATATTTTCCAGGTCAATGCCGGCAGCAGATAGAAATGGTTTAATTCTTAAACCAAGAGGCGGAACAAGAGAAGGCTTTTTGTTTTGTTATATACTGTAAAGATAGTTTGATACGACGTTGGGTAAGGGATGGCTCATCAGCCTCCACATAGAGACTATCAATAGGAGAGGTTCTAAGAGACCCAAGACAAAGTCTCAGACCTTGGTGGTGGACAGAATCTAAAAGTTTTAAGTTGCTTTTGCAGGCTCCACCATATACGATGGAGCCATAATCAAGTTTCGAGCGGACCAATGAACGGTATAGGTGGAGGAGGGTAGCTTGATCCCCTCCCCACCTTGAGTTGGAAACAACTTTCAACAAATCAAGGGCCTTCAGGCATTTAGCTTTAAGGGATTTGATATGCGGCAAGAAAGTTACATGGGAGTCGAAAATTAGACCCAAGAACTTAGCCTCCTTTACAACTTTGATGGGAATGCCATTTAAAGATAGTTCTGGGTCTTTATGCGGCTTATATTTTCAACAAAAGTGTAGACAATTAGTTTTGGACTTGGACAATTTAAAGCCGTTTTCAAGACACCATTTATTTATTTTATTTAAACACAACTGCAATTGCCGTTCAATAGTATGCATATTTTTACCACGACAAGATATAATAAAATCATCCACAAAAAGTGATCCGTCAATTGAATCGTTTAAAACCTTGGATAAACTGTTAATCTTGATACTAAATAAAGTGACAGACAAAATACTGCCTTGATGGACACCCTGATCCTGATTGTAATGATCAGACAGGGTTGAACCCACTCGGACTTGAAATTGCCTGCCTTTTAGAAACTGTGATATAAAAAGAGGCAAACGGCCCCTCAAACCAAAATCATGTAAGTCCTGCAAAATGCCATGCTTCCATGTGATATCGTATGCTTTCTCGAAATCAAAGAATATCGATACTGCATGTTGTTTATTTACTATTGCATTTTTGACAAAGGACTCTAAACGTACCAAATGATCAATGGTACTACGATTTTTCCTGAAACCACATTGGATATTGGTGATAAGGTTATTGGTTTCAAGATACCATGTTAATCGATTGTTTACAATTCGTTCCATGGTTTTACAGACACAACTCGTTAAAGAGATTGCTCTGTAATTAGACGGATCAGTATGATCCCGGCCAGGTTTTGGAATGGGGACTAGAATGGCATTACGCCAGGAAGTTGGGAAATTCCCTGTAGTCCATATCATATCAAATATATTTAGCAGTGTTTCCAAACATGATTCAGGCACATGCTTTAGGAGCTGATAGTGGATATCATCAGCCCCTGTTGCTGTATCATGAGCTTTCTCAAGAGCGGTATGTAGCTCATGGAGTGAAAATAGTTCATTATAATCTTCACCATTGTCTGAGTTAAAATTTATTCTTTTCTTCTCCTGTTGTTTCTGGTGTTTTTGAAATTCAGGGACATAATTTGATGATGAAGAATGTTTGGCAAGAGTTTCGCCAATTTTATTTGCTATGTCAGTTTTATTAGTTAAGAGATTATCACCATCCTTCAGATGGTGTACAGCAGATTTAGAACCTTTGCCCTTAATTCTTTGGACCATGTTCCACACCTTGGACATAGGTGTACGTGAGTTTATTTTTGGAAACATAATTCCTCCAAGACTGACGCTTATTTTGTTTAACGGCACGTCAAGCCTTGGCATTTGATATTTTAACTTTGTCTAAATTATGGACTGTAGGATGTTTGCGAAAATATTTTTCCGCTTTCTTCCTGCACTTTCTGGCCTGTTTACATTCATTATTAAACCATGGTTTACGAATGTGTAGAGTTGCAGAGGACTGTGGACAGCAATGTCATTTAAAATATCCGAAAAAGACTGTATAGGATCTTCACTGTTCCTAAAAAGATCATGCTGAATGTGTTCAACACACAGAGGCTTATATAATGACCAATCAGCCCTGGCAAAGTTCCTTCTGAATATGGGTGGATCATCACCAGGGTTGATGTTTTTGAGAATGGTTGGAAAGTGATCACTCCCACATAGGTCATCATGTACCGTCCATTCAAATTCATTATATAAGGTTGAATCAGTAAGTGATAAATCCAGGGAAGAATATGTTCCCGTAGCTGGATGTAAATAGGTGGCTGAATCGTCATTGAAAATACATAAATTGTTATCAGAAATGAAATCCTCAAGTATTTTACCTTTAGTATTAATGTGGGCACTTCCCCAAAGCGGGTTGTGTCCATTAAGATCGCCCATAATGAGACATGGCTTCGGAAGTTGATCATATAAATTTTGAAGATCTGACAGTCGAATGTCAGAAGAAGGAGGGATATACAAGCTGCACAGAGTCAAAGCAATGTGCAACGTCAGCCGAACAGCTACAGTTTGAAGATTGGTATTCAGAGATACAGGGCTATGAACAATACCCTGGGGCACCAAAATGGTAGCACCCCCAGTTGCTTTATCTCCTGGAGGAGAAAAGGAGTGATAATCAGTATACTGTCTCAGATTAAAGTTATCGGTATTTTTTAGATAAGTCTCTTGAAGACATAATGCTGATGGTTTACAATCTTGTATCAACAAGTGAATCTCATTGAAGTTATTTTTCAATTCTCTGCAATTCCACTGCATTAAAGTCGACAACTGAGTCATGGTGGCTCAATTGGCGATCGTTCCCGTGAATGTGAGGAGGAACTGTTCCTCTGTCTGTCTTGTGTAGACAGAGTAACCTCCATATCTAGAGGCCCAAAAGAGTTTTCTAGAGGAACCTCTGAAGATGAAGGGATGGTAGGGTTGTTTTTGTTTAGTTTCCTTTCTTTCTTTTTCTTTGTATTTGCACTTGACGGTTGAGACGAAG